CGTTAGAGAGAAGAAGGTTAAGAGGTGACTTGATAGAGACATACAAGATGATCAGAGGATTAGATAGGGTGGACAGTGGGAGCCTTTTTCCTCGGATGGTGATGGCTAGCACGAGGGGACATAGCTTTAAATTGAGGGGTGATAGATATAGGACAGATGTCAGAGGTAGGTTCTTTACTCAGAGAGTAGCAAGGGCGTGGAATGCCCTGCCTACAAAAATAGTAGACTCGCCAACTTTAAGGGCATTTAAATGGTCATTGGATAAACATATGGATGATAATGGAATAGTTTAGGTTAGATGGGCTTCAGATTGGTTTCACAGGTCGGCGCAACATCAAGGGCCGAAGGGCCTGTACTGCGCTGTAATGTTCTATGTTCTATATTCTATGGAGTCTACCAATGATCAAACACAAGGAAAAGTGATCAGGTTCATGGCCCTCGAGCCCAGATCAGTGTCAAACACAAAGACAGTTGATCAGATACTCAGCCCACTGCAGGTCATTCCTCAGACATTATTCATATTTTTGTTTAAGCTGAGACTTGAGCATAAACTCTACCTCCAACAATTTGCTGATAGCATCTGGAACCATCTTGTTTTGGTTGTCATAGCAGGGCCAGACAATCTTACGCTGTGCCCGAGGAGTCATGGCATCTACTCTTTCCCCATCATCCACTTGTTCTCGCCGATTGTATACCAGCTCCCAGTCATAAGGTGGCCCTTCAGAAATTGTCTCATCTGTGTAATAGTCCCAGACTTTCAGGTTGGAAATGTTAGCATATGGCCTCAGAACCTAGAATCAAAAAGGAAGATAGTGTTGGTGGGGTTTAGAAATCATTAATGTAATTGAACTAACAGTTCATGGAGTTACAAGTCAGAGGGACATGAGCAAGTCATTTAGCTTTTTGAACATATTACGGTGGAACCGTGACCTAATGTCACATGTCCAACTTTTCCACAGATCCTTTAACACCATGGGTTAACAAAAAACTATCAATCTTAGACTTAAAGTGAACAACTGACAGAATATCAATTGCTTTTTGAAGAAGGAAGTTCCAAACTATTCTCACCATTCATGTTGAAAAATCATGTCTAGCTTCATTCTCAAGGCCTGGCTCTGATTTTTAGATTAGTTCTTTAGTCCAAGAAACCTCAATTAGCAGAGTTTCTCATTCTGTTTCCCTTAATATATCAAACTTTATTCAAATTACTCACTTTAATCTCATAAGTTTAATTAAATGTTAACAGATCTATCAAGAGCAGAACATAGTACTGAGGGTGTGATCTAACACAACATTTGCATGAGTGTAGCATGGTTTCTAACTTCTTGCATTCTAGCTCTCTAGGTAAATTGTTTCTTTTGTACCTATCCATAACATTTCAACCATCGATTCAATTCATGGAAACAGTAATATATCAGTGATGATTGGGGTAGTATAAATCATGTTGTACAATGAAATCCACCATCTCTACAAAGCTTCTCCTCACCTCTCCATCCTCAGGTGCATACAGATAGTTGAAGAAGATTGGCATTTTCTTATTCAATCGATCAATGTAGTCCCACACAGACCTGTGCGTGTGTTGGTTCTTCCTTTCGCCTTTCTCTTCATACATCAATCCTGTTGGATACAAGTCAAAACTCAAAGTACTCTGTAAAACTGCATCTGGACTAGCCATATGGTTGGCTACAAAATAAAGCGAGGCTTGGTGGATCCAATTCTGTTCCTTCACCATGGAATGATGAGAAACATGTAGCTAAATCTCACTCTTAAGCTGTTTGTCCCTGGGATTTGATTCCAATCAGTTCCCAGAAAGAGGGGATGAAAGATTCCATGACAGTCTGTGTTTCAGGGGATTTTTTGCACCTCAGACTGAGTTGTGTAGAATTTGATAGCTAAAATCGATAAACGTTTTAATCTCATCCTGAAAGCAAAGCAAATCTTCTGTTTTCCCATTATAACATTTGATATCTTTCACAACCTACAGAACTCTTTCAGCATATCATCCTGCACTCAACTGGGGTGAGACATGAAGGAAAGGTTTTCTTTGGTAACAATGAAGTGGTGGGATGAGTAAGATCTCAGCTGACTGACTGCTGTGGACTAATATAGCCTCCCAGGAAAACTAAGAAAATAAAGCAGAGTAATTCCCTCATTGCTGTCACCAGGACACTCTTCCATAAACACATGTCTGACATGTGCCACATATAGCCATTCTAGTTATCAACAAAACAAACAAGAGATGCAGCTAGTTGTGGTTTTACCAAGTTCGATCCTTTCATGGTCAGAGTCCAGCAGGAAGGTTCGGAAGCGGTTAGAGACATGATGATATGCCAGGAATTTCAGATAGTACTGACTAAACTCAAATTCCATTGGAAACTGCAAATGAATCTGAAAAGGACAGAAAGGTACAGGCAAACAGTCAGAGCAGGAAACAATTGGCAAGAACTGATAAAAAAAATCATTTGTTCATCTGGTGATAACAACTATTTCCGACAAGATCAGGGCTCTAAAATTCAGTGACTAATAACGTAGCCATTATGGAGACCTCACACGGTAACCCCACAAAGAGATCTGCATGGCTTTACCTTTGGAAACAGGGAAGTGAAGAGAAATAGAGGATGTGCAAGGGATCAAACTTAATTGGGGACATAAATTTTGGTTTGGTAAAAATCAGCTGAGAGAGTTAGAAAAGTGAGACAAGCAACTCAACCACATTAATTGTTATGCCTCACTGCAGTTGTGGGCTGGAAATCTAACCGCCATTCCCAGAGTCATCACAAGAGTACCTTTTTTAAAAATAAACTTTTAACAATATTTACTCATTTTCCTGCCTTTATTACCTGGGTTGAATGAAAACACGGACCAGGAATCTGTGCTTAACAATGACTATTTATTACAAATAAAATATTCTAGCATCAGATGAACAATTATGAACCACTGACATATAGCTCTACTAGTTAAAACTACAACTCATTTACTAAACTCCCCTTCTGTACACACCCACCCACTCACCCACACACAGTCACCAAAGAAAAATGTTTGAGAAGGACTGAGAAAACAGTTCTGTGAGCCCAACCCACAGACTTTGCTGAACTGATCCTTTCGCTGATTAGAATGCTGCTTCTCTATTTTTCTTCTCCAGGTACTTTTGCTTGCAGCAGGTACAGGATGACAGGGTCACACTTATAAAGGTCTCTGACTTATTAATTCAAATTCATACTTACAGCAACTGATTAAGGGAAATAAAGTGGCTTTCAAGCTTGAGATGCTTTTCACTATGGAGCAGAAACAGTTCTTTCCCTTTGAGAGGTAAGGTAATATCTGACATTAACATTCACAACCCTAAACTGTTCAGTTACCTGGGAGCCAATCACAGTTATTGGCAGGCAGGAGGCCTTTGTCATTGATTACTGTGTGGACTCGTGATCAGTTATCAGCTATTGGTTACCAGCCAACTTTTCAAAAAAATCTCATTTGTGGGATATGAGCGTTGCTGGCTGGCCAGCATTTATTGCCTATCCTAAGTTGCCCTTGAAGTAATGGTGGCAAGCTGCCTTGAACTGCTGCAGTCCCTCTGCTGGTGGTTGATCCACGATGCCATTAGTGAAGGAATTACAGGATATTGACCCAGAGACAGTGAAGAAACAGGAATATGTGTTTCCAAGTCAGGATGGTGAGTGGCTTAGAGGGGTACTTGGGGGTGATGGTATTCCCATGTATCTGTTGTCCTGTTCCCTCTAAATCAAAGTGGTCGTAGGTTTGGAAGATGCTGTCTGAGGATCTTTGGTGAATTCCTGCCGTGCATCTTGCAGATAGTACACACTGCTGCTACTGAGTGTCCGTAGTGAATGCTTATGAAAAATGTAGTGCCAATCAACTTTGTCCTGGATGGTGTCAAGCTTCTGGAGTGTTGTTGGAGCTGTGCCCATCCAGGCAAAAAGGAAGTATATTCCATTACTCCTGACTTGTGCCTTTTCAATGGTGGACAGGCTTTTGGGAGTTACTTACTGCAGTATTGCTAGTGCCTTGGCAAGAAACTTGTCAATGGTAATCCCAAGGATGATGATAGTGAGGGATTCAATGATGGTAACACCGCCAAGGAGCGGTGTTTAGATAGTCTCTCATTGGTAATGGTCATAGCCTGACATTTGTATGTCCAGATCTTGTTGCATTTGGACATGGACTGCTTCAGTATCTGAGGAGTCACAAATGGTGAATATTGTGCAATCATTAGCAAACATCCCCAACTCTGACCTTATGATGGAGGGAAAGTAATTGATGAAGCAGCTGAAGATGACTGGGCCTAGGATACTACCATGAGGGACTCCTGCTGAGATGTCCTGAAGCTGAGATAACTGACCTCCAACAATCATGACCATCTTCCTACATGCCCGATATGAATCCAACCACCAGAGAGCGTGCCCCCGATACAGACTGATTCCAGTTTTGCCAGGGCTCCTTGATGCCACACTCTGTCGAATGCAGCCTTGATGTCAAGGGCTGTCACTCTCACCCTCACCTCTGGAATCAGTTCTTTTAATTATGTTTAAACCAAGGCTATAATGAGGTCAGGAGCTGAGTGGCCCTGGCAGAACCCAAACTGGGCATCACTAAGCAGGTGATTGCTGAGCAGGTGCTGGTTGATAGCACTGTTGATGATACCTTGCATCACTTTACTGATGATCAAGAGTAAACTGATGGGGCAGTAATTGCTGAGTTGGATCTGTCCTGCTTTTTATGTAAGGACACATACTGGGAAATGTTCCACACTGTCAGGTAGATGCCAGTGTTGTAATTAGACTGGAACAGCTCAACTAGGGGAGCAGCAAGTCTTCAGTACTATTGCTGGAATGTCGTCAGGGCCCACAGCAGTATCCAGTGCCTCCAACCATATCTTGATATGTAGAATCAATCGAATTGGCCGAAGACTGTTGTCTGGGGACCATTGGAGGAGGCTGAGGTGGATCATCCACTTGGCGCTTCTGGCTGAAGGTTTCAGCCTTAACATTTGCACTGAAGTGCTGGGCTCTTCCATCATTGAGAATGGGGTTCTTTGAGTCGTCCAGTGAGTTGTTTAATTGTCCACCATCATTCATGATTGAATGTGGTTGGACTGCAGAGTTTAAATTTGATCTGCTGGTTGTGGGATTGCTTAGTTCTGTCTATCACTTGTGGTTTATGCAAGTAGTCCTGCTTTGTGGCTTCACCAGTTGACATAACAACAACAAAAACAAAGTTGCTGGAAAAGCTCAGCAGGTCTGGCAGCATCTGTGGAGGAGAAAACAGAGTTAACGTTTCAGGTCTGGTGACCCTTCCTCAGAACTGATGGTGGCTGGGAAAACTCCTCCCTCCAGCCTTTTACCTGTACTCGATCCTTTCATTGAGAACTGTCGACGTGACATCAGTCGCCTCAATTTCACTGCCCACCTCAACAAATCCAACCTATCTCCCTCCAAACTGACTGCACTCCGTGCACTCAGATCTAACCCTAACTTTGTCATCAAGCCTGCCAATAAGGGTGGTGCTATTGTTGTCTGGCGTACTGACCCCTACCTTGCAGAGGCTGAGCGCCAGCTATCAGATACCTCCTCCTACCTTCCCCTGGACCATGACCCCACCATGGCACATCAGGCCATAGTATCCACTACGGTTACAGATCTCATTTCATCCGGTGATCTCCCCCCATCCGCTTCCAAGCTAATATGCCCCCACACCGCACAGCTCGTTTCTACCTCCTGCCAAAAATCCACAAACAGGACTGTCCAGATAGACCCATTGTTTCAGCCTGCTCATGCCCCACAGAACTCATCTCTTCCTACCTTGACTCAGTCTTCTCCCCCCGGTCCAATCCCTAGCCACATACATCCAAGATTCATCTGACGCCTTACGCCGGTTTCAAATCTTCCAGTTTACTGGCTCCAGCCACCTCCTCTTTACCATGGATGTGCAATCCCTTTACACATCCATTCCCCACCAGGAGGGCTTAGGGCTCTCCGCTTCTTCCTGGAGCAAAGACCTGAACCCATCTCCACCCACCACCCTCCTCCGCTTGGCCGAGCTTGTCCTCACCCTCAACAACTTCTCTTTCAACTCCTCTCATTTTCTTCAGGTAAGACGGGTTGCCATGGGTACCCGCATGGGCCCTAGTTATGCCTGTCTCTTCGTGGGGTACGTGGAACATTCCTTGTTCCAGTCCTATTCTGGCTCCCACCCACAACTCTTTCTCCGATACATTGATGGTATCATCGGTGCTGCTTCCCTCTCTCGTTGAGAATTGGAAAACTTCATCAATTTCGCCTCCAATTTCCACCTTGCCCTCACTTTCACCTGGTCTATCTCTGACTCCTCCCTTCCCTTCCTCGACATTTCTATTTCCATTTCTGGGGATAAACTGGCCACTAACATCCATTACAATCCCACCGACTCCCACAGCTACCTGGACTATACATCCTCACACCCCACTTCCTGTAAAGACTCCAACCCATTCTCTCAGTTCCTCCGTCTCCATCGCATATGTTCAGATGAGGCCAACTTCGACAAGGGAGCCTCCGAAATGTCCACATTCTTCCTCAACTGAGGATTCCCCAGCTCCATTGTCGACAGGGCCCTCAATCGGGTCCGACCCATCTCCCGCACTTCTGCCCTCACCCCTTCTCTTCCCTCCCGCAACAGCGATAGGGTTCCCCTTATCCTCAGCTACCATCCCACCAGCATCCACATCCAGAAAATCATCACATGCCATTTCTGCCACCTCTAGTAAGATGCCACCACCAGACACATATTCCCCTCCCCTCCCTTGTCTGCCTTCCGCAGGGACCGTTCCCCCCGGGACACCCTGGTCCATACTTCCTTCACCACCAACACCTCCCCACAGCCCTACGGCACTTTCCCCTGTAACCGGCAAAGGTGCAACACCTGTGCATTTACCTCCTCCCTCCCCAGTATCCAAGGGCCCAAACATACCTTCCAGGTGAAGCAACACTTCACGTGCACTTCCAAGAATCTAGTCTACTGCATTCACTGCTCACAATGTGGTCTCCTCTACACTGGGGAAACGAAGCGTAGACTTGGCGACCGCTTCGCAGAACATCTACGTTCTGCTCGCAAAAAAGACCCTGAACTACCTGTTGCTTGCCACTTCAATGCACCACCTTGCTCCCTGGCCAACATCTCTGTCTCCAGCTTGCTACAGTGTTCCAGTGAAGTCCAGCACAAGCTGGAGGAACAACAACTCATTTTCCACTTGGGCACCCTACAGCCCTCCGGACTCAATATTCAGTTCAATAATTTTACGGCCTAAACTCTCCCATGTCCCAGCCCCCCACCCCACACACCAGGCCTTGTTACCACACACCCCCTGTTGTTAGTCACTAACAGTCCCCATTAACAACTATTCACCCTCCCAGCCTAATCATTAGCAACTCCTTTGTCTGTCCAATTGTCTTTCTCTCTCTTTGGGCTCTATCCTATCGTTTACTCCCAACCCCACTCACCTCCCTATTTTCTGCATATAAACTGATGTTTTCCCAGCCACCATCAGTTCTCAGGAAGGGTCGCCAGACCTGAAACGTTAACTCTGTTTTCTCCTCCACAGATGCTGCCAGACCTGCTGAGCTTTTCCAGCAACTTTGTTTTTGTTCCTGATTTACAGCATCTGCAGTTCTTTTGGTTTTTATTCACCAGTTGACACTTCATTTTCAGGTATGCCTGGTGCTGCTCCTGGCATGCCCTCCTGCACTCTCCATTGAACCAAGGTCAATGCCCTGACCTGATGGGAAGAGTTTAGTGGGGGATATGCCAGGCATGGGATTGCAGATTGTGGAGTACAATTCTGCTGCTGTTGATGGTCCACAGCACCTCACGGATGCCCAGTTATGAGTTGCTAGATTATTCAAAGTCTGTCCCATTTAGCACAGTGGTAGTGCTACACAACATGATGGAAGTTACTCTCAACATGAAGGCAAGACTTTGTCCCCACAAGGACTGTACGGTGGTCGCTCTCACCGATACTGTCACGGGCAGATGCATCTGCAGCCAGCAGATTGATAAGGATGAGGTCAAGTAATTTTTTTGGTGGTTTCCTCACCACTTGCTGCAGATCCAATCTGGAAGCTACATCTTTTAGGACCCGACTAGTTCAATCAGTAGTTCTGCTACCAAGCTATTTCTTGCTGGTGGACTCTGAAATTCCCCCAGACTATATTTTGGGCTCTTGCCATCCCCCAGTGCTTCCTCCAAGTGTTGTTCAACATGGAGTACTGATTCATCAGCTGAGGGAGAACTGTATGTGGTAATCAGCAGGAGTTTCCTTGCCCATGTTTAACCTGAAGCCCTGAGACTTCCTGGGGTCCGGTGTCATTGCTGAGGACTCCCAGGGAAATTCCCTCCCGATTGTATACCACTGTGCCACCACTTCTGCTGGGTCTGCCCTGCCACGGGGACAGGACATGTGCAGGGACGGTGGTGGTGGTAATCTGGGACATTGCCAGGAAGATACAACTCCGTGAGTATGACTATTTCAGGCTGTTGCTTGACTAGTCTGTGAGACAGCTCTCCCAATTTTGGCAGTAACCTCCAGATGCTAGTAAGGATGACTTTGCAGGATCAACAGGACTGTTTATGCAATTGTCTTTTCTGATTCCCAGGTCGCTGCCAGGTGATCCGTCCAGTTTCATTTCTGAGACTTTGTAGCGAATGGTACAACTGAATGGCTTGCTAGGGCATTTCAGAGGACACGTGAGAGTCAACCACATTGCCCTGGGTTCTGGAGTCACATGTTGGCCAGACCAGACGAGAGTGGCAGATTTCCTTCCCTAAAGGACATTAGTGAACCATATGGGTTTTTCCAACAATCGACAATGGTTTTATGGTCATCAGTAGATTCTTAATTTCAGTTTTATTTATTGAATTCAAATTCCACCATCTGGCTGTGGTGGGATTCGAAACCTGATCCCCAGAACATTGGCTGAGTTCCTGGATTAATAATCCATAATACCACTGGGCCTCCCCTATTGTCCACAGAACCCTGGCTCCAGCTCATCTACAACTAGATCTTCACCCAATGATTTGTACAAATGCCATCTAAACAGTGAACAGCATTTAAAATGAGGGCCAGGTAATTTGTTTTTAAAAAGTACAGTAATCCTTCAATTCTTGGCTTTTAAGCCAGTTCTTTTCCCATTTCAGCACCAAATCAAAAACACAGAAAAACAGCTAGATAGTCTTTGCACAGTTGTCACAATACAGGGTCTTAAAAGTAGAGAGGAGAGGGTATCTTTTCCTTTCAGAGGGCTGCTGATCTTTGGCATTCGAAAAAGTAATGGAGCCTGGGTTATAGAATATATTTCATAATGGAGATAGACAGATATTGTCTGGGGAGGGGAAAGGCAAGGCAATAATAATGGAATTGAGGCCATGTTCAGATTAGCTGAATGGTGGAGAAAGTTCATGGGTCTGAAGGATCTATTCTTGTTCTTATTATAAGGTAATGAAAAATCTGTAAGTTTTGTGACTACAACGATGCAGAGAACTTCCTTCAATGGGCTAGTTACATAAATCAATGAAAATCAGCTCCAATTTTAGTCACTGATCCTCACTTTATGTTAGTAACCACAAGCCAATGTTAAATTATTGAGACTGGATCTACTTGACGGATAAACTGCAGTGCAGTACAGTACAACCTCACTTCACTGTGAAGATGCTGATGACTTGCTGCTACATTACAATGCACCTACCTGATGCACACAGTCCAGAAACTGCAAGAAAACAGGGATGAAACCACTGCTCTGACTGGCCATTGTCTGCGCACCACGATGGCTGAAACGATGCCCAAATGACAGCCACTCCTTCTCCACCAGAAGGCGGAAGCCTTCCAATGTCCTATAATGTTGGTCGGACAGCAATTGCACCAAGGACACCACCTGAAGGGAATTCAGAGGTAAGACAGCAATCCATTTCCAAAATGAGATGATAAATTTGGACTGAGGGGACTACTATTGGGATGGAATTCTTAACCCATGAGTCAACCATACCCTTTAAACATAACCTTTTCCCTTTTATCTCATGTGCTTAGCTAACCTCCCCTGAACTGTTTCTTACTCTATTAGTCTTAACTGTTCCTTGTGCTAGATGTTCCACATTCTAACCAGTTTTAGAAAAGAAGTTTCACTTGAATTCCACATTGGATATATTAATGATAATCTTATGCTTAGAGTGCTTAACTTTGATTTTTCTCACAAGTGGAAACATCTTCTCCATATCTACCCAACCGTTCGGTTCATCATGTTGAAGGCTTCTGTTAGGTTTTTTGGACAGAATGAGCTCCAACTTGTTGAACTCTTCTGAGGAAGATTAACTTCTCGGTTCTGGTATCATCCTTGCAAACCTGATTTTGTACCTTACCCAATGCCTCTATGTCCTTTCTAAAACAGAGATCAGAACTGTTTGCAGCATTCCAAAATGGTCCACACAAAAGATTTTGTATATGTTTTTCAACCTTTCCAAATTTTATATAAATGAAAATAAAACCTCTTTTCAACAAGTTGTAATTGGACAGCATCTGTTACATCCATATAAGCGACACAAGGCATTTTACAGCCAATTAAGGGCTCTTGAAGTATAGTCACTGTTGTTATATCCGAGACATGGCAGTCAATTTACACTCATTAAGCTTTCTCAAAACAGCTATGAGAGAATGATCTGGGGTAAATATCAGCCAGGAAACACGGGATCTTCTTACAACAGCATCATATTTAGCAGAGATTTTGTAGATCCACCCAAAAGACCATTCCAAAAGATACACAACCTTATTCAGCTTGTCTTACAGTCAAACAGTTACTACATTTGCTACAGATACAGTATCAACCCTCATAACCTCCCAGCAGATCCCTTCTCATAATTTACTGTCCTTCCTTACTCCACACAAGGTACTCCATCAACAAATAATGAAAGGATAATTCCTGCTGGAACCAAGGAGCAGCACATGGAGAATCCTCAATATAAATGTTTTGTTGTAAGTGATTTGTGAAATGCCTTCCCTGTGATAATAGTGGCCTGGTGGATAAATGTACAGGCCATGGACGGAGTCAGATGAACCAAGGAGGCCCCAAACCCCACTGCTGATCTGACGCAGGGTAGCAGACAGATGGATATAGAGTACTGTGAACAGAGACAGGTAGTAGCAGTCAAGTTTCTGTTCTCTAATCATACACTAACAAACTCTGCTGGAAAGAATCATATTGGGGCAGTCACACACTACCTACCCATGCGCATCAGTATTCTAGAGCACCTAGTCTTTCAGCATACCAACAAGACTGACACCTTAGATGAAGAACCAAAAGTAGTTAGAAAGCTCATGACTGTGCACCCTAAACCCCAACAATCAAAACTCCAGCAGGTAAGGGGAATTCAAGGCAACACATATTCCTTTTTCCTTACAAATACAGAAAAATCACATGTACAGGTAATCACTCAGTGAATTTTTTTTATTTCAGTGAGATAAGCACATTGGAACATCAAAATCTCACATGACAAAGTTTGATAACTGACAGCAGGTACCTGAGTGGTTACATCCCAGCCATCCTCCAGGCTGATCAGCACCGAGGATCCGTTGTCCAATAACTCAACAACCAGCACAGAGACCTGGAGCAACCGGTGCAGCTAGCAACAAAAAAACAGTGATGAGAGAAGGAGAAAAGGAAAATCACAGGATGAAAGTCACAAAGAACAGGAGGTCAGGCATTGTAAGTTAGGATAGGGCAGGAAAGAGGGTACAGTCAGGATAGGAGGGAATGCCCTGAAATACCTGAGAAAGCCACTCAGATTCCTCCAACAAACGATAGAAGGACTGATTGGGATCAATGGGTGCAGAACTTGGCACGCAAGCCTTCATCAACTTTTTAAAGCTGGTCTTCACATGTCGGACATCAGGTATCTCAATGGGGACAACTTCCCACTGCTGTAAAGGATCTTGTTTCGCTCCCTGAACAAAGAATTATTTAAAAATTTTTTTAATGAACTTGTTCAGGCATGTTATGATGCAAATGAGGATCCCATTAAGCAGGCTCAAGGATCCAATAGCGTTCTTCTGTTCCTATTTATTATGGTCTTAACTCAGTTGGGACTTGAACCTGGACCTTCTAGCCTAGACTGAGATACAGTAAACTCCCCAATATCCAACACATGAGACCTGTGTGTTACATGAGAAATACTCCTACTGAAGCCCAATATAGTACACTCTTGTAATCTTTGAATAAAAAGTCTTGCATCTAAATGTCAAAAGGATAGTCCAATTTATTTGCTGGGTTCTGGATACTCTGATCGTATTTCGGTCAGGGTCATCAACTAAACTAGCAATCGCATCTCGAGCAGCAGCCGATATCAAAGGCTGAGGAAAAGGGGATTTAGGCCTAGTAGCCCTCTTGAATAAATTTCTTTTTCTGCCTTCTTGCATGTTTCCTTCGCTCTTGTAAAACTGGGAATGTAAGTGGTGAAACTTTATACAGTAAAACAGTTCATCTGCTCAGATGTTTCAGGACACTTTCAAATCTTCTGGTAAAAACCTATGAATCTCTTTCAACCTGCTTAACCTTGTCATCCATTTCCTCTTCCTGAACTTTATGTTTGTTACAATTCAAAACAGTGTCTATAATTTCTTCTGTACTTAAATATGTTATTGTAACAGAACTATCTTGTCAATATTCAGCCATTCATCAAGCTCACCCTGGAAATGGTTTTCACTGGACTTATAGGCTAGCAGACAAACCAACTCCATGATTTCTTCATAGAGTTTTCATTTGCTTGCTTGGCTGCACATAAAATCCTTTAAAAGCTTCTTTGTCAGATGATAATTTTATTCATTCCCGGGATGAGGGCGTCACTGGCTGGGCAGCACTTATTGCCCATTCCTAATTGCCCAGAGAGCAGTTAAGAGTCAACCACATTGTTGTGGGTCTGGAGTCACATGTAGGCCAGACCAGGTAAGGATGGCAGTTTCCTTCCCTAAAAGGCATATCTTCTTCAAACATGACAACAGGCCACACAGTTTACACCAACATCTTCACAGAGTTTCACTTTTCACATGGTTCCATGCACATGTTAAAAATAGCATCTTTGTCAGAGTACTTGGACTGAAATTCATGAATTCTTCCTTCATGGTTTGTCAGCTTTCTCGTTAAATCATATTGGTAAACATTTTCAAATTTTGGATCACACCATGATCCATTGACTGAATCAAATTTGCCACATTAGGAACAAGAAAACACAGATTTTGCTAAATTCTTCGGTGGGGTAAAAAAATGTGACAACTATCCAATAAAAACACAACTTTGCCAATCTCCAGCATTCTGTTCTTTTGCTAATATTCTTTCACACTAGGCACAAAAATATGATGAATGCACCAAGTAAAAATTTCTACGTCCATCAAAGCACTGTTTCCACTTTGTAACCAACAAGAAGATGAACTGTGCCTTTGAAATATCTTGGTTTTGCGTATTTTTCAATAGCAGTGATTTTACATTATGCATTCCCACTGCACTTGTGCACACACATTCATGGTTATACTAGCTTTATTTTGCTTAAAACCATGAGCAATCTTTTCATTAGCACCAGCTAAGATTTTGCTTGGAGGGCATCACCATATTAATCTTGCTGCATCAGCATTACAGATTTGCTTGGCAGTCAGGGTATGTTCAATCCCCAGTTTATTAAAAAACTCAAAAATCTTTGGCTGATTTCATACTTCCAGTATTGCCCAAGGGTATCAATGTGGACTTCACAAGCTTCAAAATGTCCCTTCCCCCGACCGCATCCCAAAACTAGCCCAGCTCGTCCCCGCCTCCCTAACCATTCCTCCCACTTCAAGCCCCACCCCATCTCCTACCCACTAACCTCATCCGGCCTCCTTGACCTGTCCGTCCTCCCTGGACCGACCTATCCCCTCCCTAACTCCCCACCTACACTCACCTTTACTGGCTCCAACCCCGCCTCTTTGACCTGTCTGTTTCCTCTCCACCTATCTTCTCCTTTATCCATCTTCTATCCGCCTCCCCCTCTCTCCCTATTTATTTCAGAATCCCCTTCCCCTCCCCCATTTCTGAAGAAGGGTCTCGACCCGAAACGTCAGCTTTCCTGCTCGGCCTGCTGTGTTCATCCAGCTCTACACCATGTTATCTCAGATTCTCCAGCATCGGCAGTTCCTACTATCTTTGAGAAAAGGCTCCATGGTTTTCATCTTCTCATAAAATACCTTTTCCCCTGTCCACTAACATTGGTCTGGAGATACATGCACCTCCTGACCTCTTCAACAAAAGCCATTCATACAATGCATGATTCAAGTCTTCAAGCCTAAGAGTATGAAGTATTCAACACCGCTCTATGCTTTTATCACTCTCTGATTTCACAAAGAAGTCTTTAAGATTTCCACTTTGCACTTTAATGTCATAGATTGTTGAGGAACCAACATCGAATTCCTGCATAAGCTCTCTGCCGTTTTCACCCTTTTCCAGTCTTTCACACGTTTCCGTTTTCTGTTTCAAAGTCAAAACAATGTGCTTTGCTTCTGTCTTGGAGTGGGAGTCTTCTTAGGTGACACAGTGGATTGATGGATGAAAAATTTCAGCTATAACAATCACAAATTCAATTAGCTGCTTTTATAACGGCGTTGTGAGCTACGATTTTCCTCACACAAAATCATGCTGACTATCCCTAATCAATTTTTGACTCTCTAAACGTCCATAATTCCTATCTTTTTAAATCACCTCCAACAATTTACCCACAACTGAAGTCAGAATCAAATATTCTAGGACAAACCAGAAATTCAGGAATTAAAGAACTTTTACTCAGCAGAGAGGACCCAGTTTTTTTCCCCTTTCATATATAGCCATTTGACATCTCTATATCTCTTTCATTATAATTAGTAACCCTTCTGAAGAAGGGTCTCGACCCAAAACGTCAGCTTTCCTGCTCCTCTGATGCTGCTTGGCCTGCTGTGTTCATCCAGCTCTACACCTGGTTATCTCGGATTCTCCAGCATCGGCAGTTCCTACTATCTCCTGGCCTAGAGTTGGGGACATTACCATTGTATTTTTCCCTCCACATACAGTGCCAGGCCTGCTGAGGGTTCCCATTTTTTGGGTTTGTTCAGCATCCACAGTATTTCGATTTTAATTTTACTCACCTTTAACTGGGACTTTTCTCCGATAATGTACAAGCCTGCGCGTGGCTGGCGCAAGTAATGAGACTCTGATGGGCCCCCATTAGCCTGTGGAGACAAGGTTTCTTTGCCTGCAAGCCGGATTCCTACATCTGAATTTAGGGAATAAGCGCTCAGTCGTCCACTGCCTCGAATGCTGCCCCATTTTCCTGGAAGAGAAAGAGACAAACTAACCATTGGATTTCAGTTATCACTTCTCTAGCTATAGTAAATGAATAGTGCAGTGAAATCATCAGAATCATTCACTCCGATTCCCTGTCTCAGTTTGGTGCAGGAATGTGGATCTGGAGCCATACACTACGGAGCATACAGGTGGTGAGAACAATAAGAGATGTGATTGGAGTGGGACTTCTTTTGTGGAGTGCATAAACTTAAACAATGAATCAGTAAGGCTCCAAAATGCTGTTCCAATCATGAGAATTCACATAGCTATGATGCTTTGTTAACGTCCCCACTCTTCTCAATTAGAATTCTTTATATTCTCTTGGAGGACAAAATGAAGAAACGCTTTAAAATAGGAAAATAATTCTTAAAAGTTTTTTTGATTCAAAATTTGGAAGTTTTTGAAATTATGGGGTAACCCTTAAGGGAATCCCACCTTCATACTTTCAACAACTTCTTCCCCATTAAATCCAGAAAAGATCTGAGGTAAGCAGAGGCAGTAAAATGTGAGCCCGGTGTTAATTCTGAAGTATGAAGTAGGATAAGCAGGAACAATGGCTTGAAGGCCAAGTCATTGAGTCTACGAAAGACAGAAATGAATGAATCTTGATTAAATAAGAGAATCAAGGGTTTATAGGGAGAAGGCAGGAGAATCGGGTTAAAAAAAATATATCGGCCATGATCAAATGGCCTACTTCTGCTCCTATATCTTATAATCTCTAAGATCTCATGGCATGCTCTCTTCCTTCCAGACAAGGGCAATGAGATTGTGGGTCGTGTCATGAGTACTCAGGAACGTGTACATTAAAAAATATTCTGATGTGCACTTGCGATGCCAAGGCATCCAAAGATATGGAGCAAATGCTGGAAAATGGGATTAGAATATTAGATGGCGGTTTTTGGCCAAAAAAGGTCAAAGAGGTCAACAGAAAGAACCAAAAGAAATAAAAAAAAGCCAAGCCTATCCAATTTTTCTTCCTAAGAACACCTGCTCATTCCTATCAACCTAGTGAATCTCCTTTCAACCACCTCTCATGCATTTACATCCTTCCTCAAATAAGGAGACCAAAACTGCACAGTATGAGAGATCTGGTCTCACCAATGCCCTGTGACTGAAACAAAACCTCTTTTGATCCCAATTCCTCCCATAGGATAAAGTTCAATTTGTCTGCTTGATTACATACTTATGTCTCATGTTGTAGATAACACTGCACCTCAAAATTTTGAAGTTGTTCACATGTTACATAATGCTCTATTGTATCCTTCCCAGCAAAGTTAACCACATTTTCCTACATTATGTTCCATTTGCCAGATTTTTGCTTGCCTACTCAATCTAGATCAGTCTGCATTCTTGCTATGTCATTCTTGTAACATACTTTCCTACTGATCTTTGTGTGACTAGCTTTTAATCCCCTCACCCAAGTCACTGATATAAATTCTAAAAAGTTAAGGGCCCAGCACAAACCCCACTTATATTTTCTGTCAATCTAAAAAGAATCATTTATCCAGACTCTGACTGGCAGAAAAAAAATCTTCTATTCACACAAGTATGTTTCCCCCTAAACATGATCTCCTACATTGCACAATAACCTTTTTGGAATGTTGTCAATTTTTTTCTGGAAATGAAAGGTGAACACATGAAAGGGTTCCCCTTTATCCACAGCACGTTATTTCTTGCATTCCAATAATTTGGTTGAACATGATTTCCCTTTCACAAAACCATGCTGACTCTTCCCAATTACTTGGGATTTTCAAATTGTCCAGTTATAACCTCCTTAATGTTTTTATCTAACACCCCTCCACAGACTAACCAGTCCATTTTTTATTGTTATCTGCCTCCCTCTCTTATTCAATAGAGAGGATATATTAGCTACTTTCCTGTCTAATGGAACCTTTCCAGAATCTAACATTAGAATGTAATATAAAGAATGTGATAACTAAATATTTAGAAAACAATGGCAAATTTAGGTAGAGTCAAAAGAAATCATATTTGACAAACTTAGAATTTTTTTGAGGATGCTGCTTGTAGCATATCAAAGAACAACTAGTGGGTATGGTTTATTTGGATCTTCCAAAGTCATTTGCTCAATCTCCAAATAGGACATTAGTAAATAAAATCAAATTGTGGGATTGGGGAATCTACTAATACAAATTTAGAATTGTTTAATGGACAGAAAGCGGTGAACAGTTAAAAGATCATTCTTAAGATGATTTGTATGTGGGCACCAATTGTAATATTTCCAAATTTACTGATGACAAAATTGGTTGGGAATGCAAGGTGGCTTCAAAAGGACTTGGACAATTAAATGATTCAGACTGAACATGTCAGATGGAATATTGTGTGAATAAGTATCAAGTTATTCACTTCCGTGGGAAAAAAAAGCAAGGGGAGAGTACTTCTTGAACAGTGAGGGGCTGGGAAATACAGGCGTCCAAAGAGATCTGGATGTCCTTGTACTGTGCGTCACTACAAACAAGCATGCAGCTGTCGTGAGCACTTAGGAAGGTAAATGGTACATAGATATTCATTTCAAAGGGATTCGAGTACCGAAGTAAAGATGCGTTGCTACAGTTGTATAGAATCTTGATGAAGCTTACAATTAGACTAGAATATGGTGTACAGTTTTGGTCTTTTCTGGGGAAGATTATTCTTGCTATAACGGGAATCCAACGAAGGTACATCAGATTAATTCCTAGGATGGCAGGATGCTTTAAGAGGAGAGATTGAGGAAACTAGATCTCTGTTCACTAGAATTACAAAGATTGAGAGGAGATCACATTTAAACTTCAAATCTTTACAGGATACACAGGTTGGATGCAGATAAGATGTTCCCCTGCTCATGACGCTAGAACCAAGATACACAATTTCAAAGGAAGCAGTAGGCCATTGAAGTCTGAGATGAGGATAAAATATCTCTCTCTCCCTGGCATTTAGCAGCTTCAACATAATGCCCCACTATCCAGAATCAAAACTGGTCTATCTATATAAACACTGTAGCTATAAGAGCAGTTCAGAGGCAGGAAATTTTGAGGTGAGTAACTCATCTCCTGATTTCCCACTGCTTGTCCACCATCTCCAAAGCATAAGTCAGGAGTGCATTGCAGCTCCATCAAACCTCAAGAGCAAGACCAATTGCAAGGTCCTCTCCAAGCCACACAACAGCTGGATTGGAATTATATAAACATTCCTTCATTGTCATAGTTTAAAATTCTTAATGCTTAACAGCACTGTTGGTGTACAAATCTCTCACACTGTGCCATGAATCGCAGCAATCGAACTAGACCACGCATTGTAATTAGGATGGGCAACAAATACTGGCCTAACCAGTGATATCCACATCTCATGAACCAATAAAGGTCCTCTGCTTTTCATAATTGTATCAGTGTTCGTCACATTCATTTTTAATCTATATTCCACATTCCTTACCTTCATTTTTTATTTACAAGTTTCCATGATACCTCTTCTGACTCTACAATTAGTGCAATATAATCTGCATATGTCAAGTTGTTGATCTTCAACCTGTGCTAGATCTTCTGAATCCCTAAAGACAGCTTAATTATATGGGTTGAACAGTTTCAGGGACGCATCATGTTCCTGATGCATTCTTTTAATTGGGAATCTGACAAGTTGCTATCAAGTCCCATCACTGCTAAATGATTCCAATACAGATTCTGAATTAACTCAGGTTACTAAATCCATAAGAAAAAAAACACTCGGGTTGATCTATCAATGAATTGAAGAATCGTGAAGGCACAGTAAAGTTGTACAGAACCTTGGTTAAACCATACTTGGAGATTTTGACAGTAGTCCTCCATAACCCCAAAAGCATATAAAAGGCCTTGGAGAGCATTCAGAAAAAAGTGGTGATAAGAGAATTGAGAGACCATACTATACATCAGTTAGGAAAGACTGAAAAGGTTGGAGGGCTGTTTTCTAGAAAAGATTGAAGAGCGTCCTGACTGCAGGTTTTAAGATTACGAAACGGTTGGATAGGGATAGATGCAGAAAAGAGACTTCCACATGAAGGCAGAACAAGGAATCATAAAATAAAATCAAGATGCTTAACGAATCCAACAGGGAATTCACATGAAACATCTTTAACAGAGAGCAGTTAGAATACAAAGCTCGTTATCACGAGGAGTTATTGAGTTAATAGCACTGATGCTTTTAAGGGAAATTCGATAAATACATGTAAGGAACAGTGGAAGGAAGATATGTTGATGAAGTAATAAGGCAGCTTGTGTGAAGAATAAACAAAGGCATGAAACATTTGGATCAAACAGCCTTTTCTCTATTATGAATACTGTTTAACTGAGCAAGCCATCTGCCAGTAAAACAGATTTCTCGGGCAGGACAGTAACTGTACAAACATACACAAATCTCAGTTTTCATTTTAATGTCATCATCTTACTTAATACCTTATTTTCCAACATTTTTCGTAATGAATTAGAATAAGTTACATTAGCATTAACCAGCGTGGAACTTGGAGCACCCCTGAAGCGCAGACTGAGGAATCAGAGGTGCAAATCATGCATCTCTATCACCTCCACTGGCAAGGTGAAATTACATTGTAACAAATTTATATTGGCAATTTTCATTATAAACCAACTGTTAATAGAGAAAATTAATATGGCGAAGCAAAGGTTTATCATGAGTTAGTGTTGGCAGATGCAAGATTTACAATGGCAGTCGAACACAAATATAGAAAACTTATTCCTCCCCACAGGTGGTCACAAAGATCAATGTTCACATCAGTTCGCTCACTGAGCAAAAGCTGCAGGTATAACTAAGTCAGTCAGGAGAGTGGAATAGAAGCTAAGGACGGTACAGCAAGTGGTCTCAGTTAATACATGCAATAACAGGTTAATATCTGTGTTATTCTTGGTGTTAGCCTTCTAAAACACAAGGATAGAAATGGTTACTTTCCCTGTACTGAAACACAATACATTGAGGGCTTTCTCTCTCCTTCGCTGTGGCCCTTGGATT